TGAGGCTTTTTTTCCCCCCACCTCCCCTCTGCCCTCCTCCTCCCCTTGATTGCCTGTGATTGGCAGGTGGAAACTGTTGGCTTCTAATTAAAGTTTGAATTCTAGAAGCCTCTGCTGATTGGCTGAGCCTTGGTAGGGGGAGGGGCTTTATAAGGCAGTGGGCAAGCGACCAAGGAGCTTGCGAACAGGTGAGTGCTAGCAGGGAGTTTAGAGAGGGAGTTGGGAAGGGCGTGAGGTTCTCTTGCCTTTCTTTTAAATCCCTTCTCCAGGACAGCAGTGATGGATGGTGATGGGTCTGCTGTTGTTACCTGTACAGCGTGTGCCATGTTTGTCTTCCACCCGGAAGAAAGAACGGATTTCATCTGCACCAAGTGCAAGCTGGTCGACATTTTGGAAGAGAAAATTAGAGGACTGGAGGCCCAAGTGTCGACCCTACGCTTGATCAAAGAGGATGAAGACTTCCTCGATAGAAGGCAGCATTTAATCCTTCAAGCACAGCAGGCAGAAGAGCCAGAGAGGGCAGTACGTGACCAAGAAGAGGCAAAACAGCAGATTTTGACTCCCTTAGAGACCTGATGGGCAGAATCCCCTGGTATGCTAACATGAAGGGGAAAGGATTCCAGGACAGCGGGCAGTATTTTAAAGAAGCCTTATTGAAGGCACAGAAAGTAGCCATCCCGACGCATAGCAAGAGAAGAAGACATGGTAGAAGACCAGATTGGCTTACAGGTGAAATCCTTGGTGAATTTAAGCACAAAAAGGAAGCTTACAAAAAGTGGACACTTGGACAAATGACCAAGGAGGGGTTTAAAGGTATAGCTCGAGAAAGCACAAATGGAATTGCGACTGGCTAAGGATGTGAAGGATAACAAGAAATGTTTCTACAGGCATGTTAACAAGAAAAAGGTGATCGGAGAGGGTGTGCGGCCCCTACTGGATGAAAGAGGTAACCTAGTGACAGATGATGTGGGGAAAGCCGAAGTACTCAATGCTTTCTTTGCCTCTGTATTCACGGACAAGGTGGGCTCCCAGACTAATGCGCTAAGTGACGCAAGATGGGATGAAGATGGACAGCCCGTGGTGGGTAAAGAACAGGTTAGGAACTATTTAGAAAAGCTAAAGGCACACAAATCCATGGGTCCAGATTTAATGCATCAGAAGATACTGAGGGACTTGGCAAATGTCATTGAGGAGCCTTTGGCCATTTTCTTTGAAAAGTCGTGGAGATCAGGAGAAATCCCAGATGACTGGAAAAAGGCAAGTGCCCATCTTCAAAAAAGGGAAGAAGAACAATCCAGGGAACTATACGCTGGTCAGTCTTACCTTGGTTCCTGGAAAAATCATGGAAGGGATCCTTAAGGAATCCATTTTGAGGCTCTTGGAAGAGAGGAAAGTGATTAGGAATAGTCAGCATGGATTCACAAAGGGCAAGTTGTGCATGACCAATATGATTAACTTTTATGATTAGGTAACTGGCTCTGTGGACGTGGGAAAGTCAGTGGATGTTATATACCTTGACTTTAGCAAGGCTTTTGATACCATCTCCCACAATATTCTTGCCAGCAAGTTAAGGGAATGTGGATTGGATAAATGGACGGTAAGATGGATAGAAAGACGGCTAGAAGGCTGGACCCAGCGCGTAGTGATCAACGGCTAGATGTCAGGATTCGGGTCGGTTTCTAGCAGAGTGCCTCAAGGTTCGGTTCTAGGACTGGTTTTGTTCAATATCTTTATTAATAACCTGGATGAGGAGATGGACTGCACCCTCAGCAAGTTTGTGGATGATAATAAGCTAGGGGGAGAGGTAGATACGCTGCAGGGCAGAGATAGGGTCCAGAGTGACTCAGACAAATTGGAGGATTGGGCCACAAGAAATGTGATGAGGTTCAACAAGGACAACTGCAGAGTCCTGCACTTGGGAGGAAGAATCCCAAGCATAGTTACAAGCTGGGGACCAACCAGTTAAATAGTAGTTCTGCAGAAAAGGACCTGGGGGTTGCAGTGGATGAGAAGCTGGATATGAGTCAACAGTGTGCCCTTGTAGCCTAGGAGGCGAATTGCATATTAGGTTACATTAAGAGGAGCATTGGCAGCAGACCCAGAGATGTCATTATTCCCCTTTATTCGGCTTTGGCGAGACCACATCTGGGGTACTACGTCCAGTTCTGGGCCCCCCACTACAAAAAGGATGTGGACGCATTGGAGAGGGTCCAGCGGAAGGCAATCACAATTATTAGGGGGCTGGGGCATATGACAAAAGGCTGAGGGAGTTGGGTCTGTTGGCAGAAGCGAAGAGTGAGGGGGGATTTGATAGCAGCCTTCAACTTCCTGAAGGATTGCACCCTCAGCAAGTTTGCAGATGACACTAAGCTGGGGGGAGAGGTAGATACGCTTAAGGGCAGAGATAGGGTACAGAATGACTTAGACAAATTGGAGGATTGGACCACAAGAAATCTGATGAGGTTCAACAAGGACAAGTGTAGAGTCCTGCACTTGGGACGGAAGAATCCCAAGTATAGTTACAAGCTGGGGACCAACCGGTTAAGTAGTAGTTCTGCAGAAAAGGACCTGGAGGTTACAGTGGATGAGAAGCTAGATATGAGTCAACAGTGTGCCCTTGTAGCCAAGAAGGCTAATGGCATATTAGGTTACATTAAGAGGAGCATTGCCAGCAGATCCAGAGATGTCATCATTCCCCTTTATTCAGCTTTGGTGAGGCCGCATCTGGAGTATTGTGTCCAGTTCTGGGCCCCCCACTACAAAAAGGATGTGGATGCATTGGAGAGGGTCCAGCGGAGGGCAACCAAAATGATTAGGGGGCTGGAGCATATGACTTATGAGGAGAGGCTGAGGGACTTGTGTCTGTTTAGCTTGCAGAAGCGAAGAGTGAGGGGGAATTTGATAGTAGCCTTCAACTTCCTGAAGGGAGGTTCCAAAGAGGATGGAGAAAGGCTGTTCTCAGTAGTGACAGATGGCAGAACAAGGAGCAATGGTCTCAAGTTGTGGTGGGAGAGGTCCAGGTTGGATATTAGGAAAAACTATTTCACTAGGAGGGTGGTGAAGCACTGGAATGGGTTACCTAGGGAAGTAGTGGAGTCTCCATCCCTAGAGGTGTTTAAGTCTCGGCTTGACAAAGCCCTGGCTGGGTTGATTTAGTTGGAATTGGTTCTGCGTAGAGCAGGGGGCTGGACTTGATGACCTTCTGAGGTCTCTTCCAGTTCTATGATTCTGTGTGTGAGGTACTGGCTCTAGGGCGATGGTGGTCTCTGTGCTGGCCACATCCTTCTCCTTCTCCTTAGCTGGGATCCCTAGATGGGCAATGACAGATGTCTCCTGCCCTGAGTCCACTACTGGGGTGGGAAAGGGGCTGCCTTCCCCCCCCCCAGGATGTGTTGCAGGTCTTCATAAAAGGGGCAGAAGTGGGGTTCTGCCCTGGAACATGAGCTGCACTCCCTTGCCCTGTTGTAGGCCTGCTGGAGCTCTTTAACTTTATTCTGGATCTGCTCCTGGGTCTGGATATGGCCCTTTGTGTCCAGGCTCTCGACCATCCAGCTATCGATATTGGCATTGCGCTTTCTGTAACAGAGATCCTGCAGGTTCTCCTCTTTGCCCCACACCTCGATAAGAGCCAGGATGGTGCATGCCTCTTGCGGCCCATGGCAGGCTCCAAGGAGCCTTGTGAGTGCTCCCTGGGATGGGCAGAGAGCTCTTGGGGAGGGAAGGGGTTGGGGGGTCTGCCATGATGGCCAGATGTCAAGCACTGGCAATTAGAATTTGGCTGGAGGCTGTGAGGGCCAGCGTCCTGCCACAAGCCCTTTTCCCTGTGTCTGCAGCTTTAAGAGCTGCAGGGGAAGAGGAACTATAGAGTCCTGAGGAGTGTGGACGGAGTGGCCAGCAGGGCACCTGTGGGATTTCCTGGAGGCCTCTTTTTTCAAAAAAGCTCCGCCTTATTCCTTGTGGAACGAAGTTTACTAATGTCAGAAAAAGCCGTCCGTTATTTCATTTTTCTTTCGAAATAATGCAGTCGCTGTGGAGATGCTAGAATTGTTTTTCCGGAATAATGGTTGTTATTCCAGAATAACAGTGCAGTGTAGATGCACCTGTTATGTGGGGTTCTTTCAACCCAAACCTCTCAGTAACTTTTACTTACTGCGAGGTGGTGTCAGGAAATAATTCAGGGGAAACATGGTCATCCGACCGATAGATGGATGGTACAAACAGGACAACACAAGAGCTAAACTTTACTTAGTCTCAAGCACTTTCACACTCTGCAACAGGTTAGTAAAATACCCCCACCCTCAATAATTACCGAAGTTGAGTGTGGCTCTTGAGTGACACCGAGGAGGCTTCCGATAGCCAGTCTTCCATCTGCCGGTGGGGACGAAGATGCGTCCAGGAGTGAAGAGTCCTCAAGAAGTCCTCGAGGCATCCCTCCAGGTGTTCCCAAAATTGTCCCACCTAACTCAAACTTTCCTTCCCTAATTATCCATTAGTATTACAAGAACATATCACTCAAAAACTTGTTAGACAAGCACTTTTTAAAGGTTAGGCAAGAGGTTTTCTTTTGATCATCACTTTCACCAGATGTATTTTTTTTTCAGAGACTTCATGCTCGGGGGCCCTGATAGATATATGTTTTAGGGCATTTAGAAAAACTTCCTGTTTTTCTTAATGTATAGGTCAGCAATTTCACTAGAGATTTGGGCCTCAGGAAGGATGCGGGGTCAAGCTGCCCTCTCTGTGGCATCCAAACTCCCTCTTCTTCCCCCTCCCTGACTTGGTCATGCTGTCTAGACCTATTTGGGGCCTGTTAGCTTGGTTGCTAAAGTTTAAGCAGTAAGCAATAGTAGTTCAGGTACATTACTAGATTTGCCGAAATCTCCTCGTAGACGCCCTAAGAAAGCTAAAATTAAAGTAATATGCAGATAAGTTGTACAATAAATAACTACAATTTAAATAAGAACATCAGAAAGTTGAAATATATTCTTTTTTTCACCCAGTGCTCCTCAATGACTCTTTTGAAAATCTCAGTTCTTTCATTCACCGTGGGATCTTGTACACAGAACTGTGTCACTGGACATTCGCAATCTGTGACTTTGAAAATGCACTAGCTCTGGACAGGTGATTGGATTTTTAATATATATTTTATATCATTTTGAATTAGCTATGGCGGGGTGGGGAGGAGTTATGTCCATTTCCATCTATCTGTTTCTGTCTATCTAATTATTACTATGACCTCCATCAGTCCAGTATGATGACTTACAAACATTTATGAATGTATCCTTTATGAAACAGAAAATAGTGTTGTTATTCTTATGTTAGAGATGGGAAACTGAGCATTAGACAGATTAACCTGGGATTTTCAAAAGTGTGTAAGTGCTTCAAGGACATGTTTTGAAAATTCCACTCTCATAGACTTGCTAGAGTGTACATGAGAAGGATAATATGGTCTTCTGCCTACCAGTGTAGTGTATTAAGCTCAGTATTATCCTTCCTCTTATTTGTTGGAAAACTATAAGTATTTTCTATAGCCCACCCACAGTGCTGGACATCTGAGCTGCTTGCCTCTGACTGCAGCTTTTCAAAGATGGATCAATGATTTGGCTCCACCTTCCTGCTTACTGCAAGAATCTCTG